TCCATGATTCCTTAATCATATGCAAAGTATTTTTAAAATTTTCTAAATGTTGGACATTAATTGTTTGTGGGAACTGATGAAGGGGTTAAATATCCTATCCTAGTTGTCATCAGATGAAACAGAGCTCCAGAAATAAAAGTAGCTAGAGGAATGGAGGAGTTGGATAAGTAGAGAGTTTTGTAGGAAAAAAATGCATGGTATGGAAGTCAAGACTTACAAAGCACTGGGGTCATTCATGGCCAAAGGGAAAGAGCAAGTGTCGGTCACTTGCATTTCACTTGAGCTCAGACTCTTGGGCTCATGCCCAGGGAAATTCTAACAAAAAAAAAGTGAAAACTTATCCATATGGTGTCACTAAATTCTATGTGACATGCTGAGCAGCTTTGGTACTAAGTAGCTTGGATGGGAAATGGCACCAGTGACTTTGACCTTATTGGAAACATTGAGGTGAATCAATTTAATTGGTTGTCCAAGATTACTGCCATGCTGGAAAGCCAGTAGAAGGACTTACAGTACTTAGTACATAGCTATCATGACAATGACTTAGTAAAAGCAATGTAGTAAGGGGGAAAGACTCAGGCAGAGTCTGGAGACATCCACAGAGAGAAGCCTTATACTCTTTCCCATGAAGGATCACACAGTGCATTCTTTCCTCGGCAATGAAGATGTAGTTCCTCATCAATGCGCATTTGATGTTTCTGCCTAAGGATTCCTATTAGAGCCTCAGCACACAAAATCACTTCTTTTGTTTTATTTTTGGTTCTGAGAATTGAACCAGGGCGTTGTGCAAGCTAAGCATGTGCTCCACTATTGAGCTAGTCCCCTGCAGCCCACACTCAAAGTTTTTGCTTGGGTCTGCTCACATAAATACCCTCTGCCTAGCATGTACCAAGATTCCAGACCACAGAAGGAAAGCAGGTGTTCAGTGTGAAGTGTATTATTCGTACCATGGTACAATGAGCCACACTTACTACTGAGAGTGATGAAAATGCTCCAAATCCAAGTTCACCGACACTAGGCCAACACTGGAATGAAGTCTGTCTCAGGACAGCAGTTATAGGTCCACTATGTTGGCTCTTTTCTGTATATCAGTAAAACCCTAGCAATAGTGAAATCCTTAACAGAAATTGCCCAGTAGAAATTTCCCAGTGGAATGCCAATTCTTTGCAATATACATACAGAAATTAGGACTGAATGTTTTAATGCTTGGCAGCCTTCTAACTGTTCTACATTCAATAAAAATATTTAAGTGAGGGCAAAGGAAAAAGAATGCAGCCAACTACAATGAGTAGGTAATTAGTTCTTTTGCCACCTGTCCCTGCAAGTACAGCTAAGATTAACTCTTCCTAATGGGTTGCTCATCTCAAGATGATAGCTAGGGCTCATGCAGGCTAGCTTTGATGTACACAGACAAACACTAAAGTGCAAGCTGGGGGTGGGACATTCATGTTGCACAGCATAGCCAGGAATGTCCACTGTGACATCTAAACTGCTAGCAAACGTGGACTGCGAAGTGCAAGTAATTCAACAGGAAGAGGCTAGGGGCTAGGAATTCCATGCCAAACCAGAAGGATGTGGTAGAAACAGATATGGTCATGGAACTGGAGTTGTTGGCCAGCAGAAGGTTTGAGGCTGGCGATTCAGGCAGACAACAGGAACACTTTGAATGGGCACTTCTTCTGGAAAAATTGTTTGCAGAAAATATTAGAGCAAGGGCACATAGAAGATAGCTCACACTCCTGCATTTGCCAACATAGAATTTTAAGAGAAAGAGTTGTTCCTAGAAAAAGCTGGAAACATAGGACAAGGTGGATGAAGCAATGCAGTTGTTCTTCAACAACCAGGTAGTTGCAGAGGCATCCTAGGGAAGAACAAGCCTGAACAACAGGATAGCTGTGCCCAGTACTGTTCTAGAGTGGAAATCCAAGGAGAGTAATAATCGAATTATGTAGAGGTTGGGGGTGGTGATATATGGAATGGAGCCAGGAGCTCTGGCACTTGTACTTGAATTGTATGTGCCATCTTCCAAGTAAGGTTTCAGGAGGGTAGTAACTATTGTGGAAGCATAAGTTAAACTTCTCACCCTTCCCACCCACTCATGAATTAATTCCACAAAACCCTACCTATTCTGTCTCCATCTGCATTATTGATCCCAGAATATTCAGACAATGGTAAAATTGCAAAATGCAAGTTATAATTATCTCATTAGCATGTTGCTGCCCAGACTGGCCTGGACCCCGATCCTCCTATTTCCATAACCCACATAGCCGGGATGAGAGGTGCATGCCACCATACCCAGCTTTTATTGGTTGAGATGGGGAATTGAGAAACTTTTTGCACAGGCTGCCTTGAACTGCCATCCTTCCAATCTCCAGCTCTGGAGTAGCTTGGATTACAGATGTGAGATGTGGAGCCTGGGTTCTTTTCACATCTTTTAAGGAAGACTAATTAGTCTCTTCTATTTGTGGGCTGGGGGCCTGGCTCAAGTGGTAGAGCCCCAACCTACCATGTATGATCCCCAGTATGGCTAATTGTGTCAGATGATACTTGGAAGTTAATATTTCCATTCCTATGATTACTCACCAAATTAATTCTTTCCATTTTTGTCAACTGGTTTGATTTCCTTTTCTAAGCTATCTATTGAGAGCATGATTTTAAATTGCATCTTTTCACTTTTAAAATACTCTACATAACTCTTTACATTAAAATACTAATCCTTGTCATTTTATTCTGTTCCTACCTCAAATTTGTCTTTTGTCCTTTAGTAGTGTGAATTTGAATACACATATTTCATGTAATCAATTCTGAAAAAATTCTATTGCTTCTCAACTTAAAGAGGCTCAGTATTAAAATTTTTGTTAAGGATTCACATCTCCTCAAGTTTTGGGTTTCATTTTGTTTCAGTGGGATACTGTGTTCACAGCCAGGCAGATTTTGTGGTCACAATAGTGGTTCAAGGCCAGTCTGGGCAAATAGTTTTTGAAACCTGTCTCCAAAAGAATCAGAGCAAAATGGACGGAAGGTGGCTCAAGCAGTAAAGAGCCTGCTTTGCAAACTCTAAGTCCTGAGTTTAAACCCCAGTCCCACCAAAAACATATTATGTCTTTTTGTATGTATAAAAACATTTCTTTCTCCATTTTGAAGGGAGGTTTACTGCAATGTATGTGAATTAACTGTGCATGCAGTTGCCAAGCTACAAATGTGAGTATGAATAGAGTTCCACTTCTGACTGAGTTTTTGTGCTTGGTCCATTTCAAATCAACATCAAATGAAATAATTAAAGCTAAGTGTATGGAAGTCTCAAGTCCATCCGATACTAGAAAATGTAACAGTATTCCAGATGAGTTTCCAATATTTATCAAAACTTAAAAATGCTGTACAGACCAATTCCTAGATTACGAAATACAGTTGTGCTCAAGTTGCCAATCACAAAGTGTTGTTGCTATATAGTCACATGCATTTCTGGGATATACTTAGGCAAAACAATTATTTGTTGTTCATCTGAAATTCGAATTTAATGGAGCGTCCTGTATTATTATCATTATTGGTAACACTCCTGCCAGGAGACATTTGGCAAGAACCGGAGCCACATTTTTCAGGATGGTGGTGGTGGTACTGTTGTCTAGTGTGCAGAGGCCAGGGATGCTGCTGAAAGTCTTAGAATGAATAGGACAGCTCCTCTGAGATAAGGAATTTTTATTTTATTTTATTTTATTTTTTTTTTTTAATTTAATTTTTTTTTCCATTTTTTCTTTTTATTATTCATGTGTGCATACAAGGCTTGGTTTCATTCTCCACTGCCCGCCCCCACCCCCTCCCTTTACCAACCACACTCCACCCTCCCGCTCCCCACTCAATACCCGCAGAAACCTTTTTTGCCCTTATCTCTAATTTTGTTGTAGGAGAGGTAGAAGCACTAATAGGAAGGAACAAGGGGTTTTTTTGCCTGTTGAGACTAAGGGATAGCTATAGCAGGGCAATTGACTCACAATTGATTTCCTGTGTGGTGGGTTGTTACCTTCTAGGTTAATTCTTTTTTGATCTAACCTTTTCTCTAGTTCCTGGTCCCCTTTTCCGAATTAAGGAATTTTTAAAACCACTAATGCTGATTGTGCGCAGCAGAGAGCCCTGAACTGGAAGGCTACGACAAGAACTGTCATCTTACGTTTTGGAAAGGAGTTTGTGAAGGTCGGGTGTCCAAGATGTGAGACCTGGCTTTAAACCCCATGAATGGGCAGGAAAAGTTATTTGGGGCCCTTTTCAAACGGCACAGTATTTGCCTAACGCAAGCTCTAGAAGCTGAGTTCAAATCCCAGTACAGCCCAAATTTAAAAAAAATAAATTAGAATGTAAAGTTCTTTGCCGCTAACGGGACACAAGGGAACCAGACTACCTATGCAGCGGGTTTGACGTCCCATCAAATGGAAAAAAGGTACGCGTGGCGCTTTGCGCGCGGCAATCGCAGATGGCAAAGCGCTCACAACTACAGCTGAGCGGCGCTCGCAGCCAGAGACCGGTAGGTCCTTGCGAGAACAAGATTCCCCCGCTGCTGACACTAGGAAGGCTTTTGGTGACGGAACCGGAAGCCGCCCTGTAGCCCCGGCGTCCTTCTGTCCTAGCAACGCGTTGTGAAGGAAGTGGTCGCCGCCACTGCGTCCCTATGCGCCTGTGCGGAAGCGCCGCAACGCTGACGTGGAGGCGACGCCGGAGTGGTTCAGAACAGCCGGCCGCGCTGAAGGAGTGCGGTAGCCGCTGGGGTGGAGAACAGCTAGCGTGCGGGGATGGCGCCGGCGCTCGGTTGGCCCGGGGCCCGGGGCTGCGAATCGGCGCTGGTTGGGTGCTGCTCCCGCCCTCTGCTGGTGCCTGCTGCTGGCCCGTCCTGGCCGGCGGCCCTGGTGGGAAAGGACTGTAACTGCGGCACGCGGGACTCATGAGGTGTTTGGGCGTGGAAGCCGCTCGGCCGCAAGGGCGGAGTCGCGAGAGCCTACGCCAGCTGGCCCGCCGCTACCACCCCGACCGCTACCGGCCCGAGCCCGGCGACCAGAGCGCCGAGGAGGCGTTCTTGCTGGTGGCCACCGCCTACGAGACTCTCAAGGTGAGGCCCGCGGGGGAGGCCAGGGGTTGCCTGGCGCCTTCGTTCCTGGGCCGCGCCACTAAGTCCACTGTGAACCCTGCGCCGAATGCAGCCTCCACCTCGACCTTTTACGAGGCTGCACGTGTCCCCCACGACAGAGGCGCACGTTCGGCCCACTGACAGGAATGGGAAAAGGAATCCCGTCGGTCCTGGGCGGGGTGAGGGGTTGGGAGCAGACGTGGTTATGCAAAGCGTTGGGCGTTTTTTTAGATTTCGTTTTGAAAACATTCTGATAACAGACTATTCTTGCTTGGAAAACAGGGTGATTGTCAGTGCTAGGATCTGGGATAGGGCAGAGTAAAGGCCTCGAATATTGAGTGACAGTGGTCGTGCCAATTTGATACGACAGAACTGGAGTTTCAGGGGATGGTATTAATGATGACAGTTAGGTTGGGTTTAAAAGAACTCGAAACACCAGTAGAGCAATGAACAACCTGCCAGAAGACGGATGTTGACCTCTTGCTCTACATCCTAGTGACCTTGGATATCTGTTTTTTCATAAGCACAAAGAAGGCCATTATATCTCTTTACAGGGTTGTTATGGGGGTTTAATGAGAAGAGTGAGGAAATAGGGGAGAGAGGGAAAAGAAAGAGCAATATAGGGAACTGATTAATCTGATCAATGTACAATATATGCATGTGTAAACACCATGATGTATACCTTTTATATAATTGATATATACTAATTTTAAAAAGATAAAAAATGAAAAGTGTGAGAAACCCCTTATACAGGACCCATACACAGGTGCTTCATAACTTGGGGTAGGAGATTCTTGAGAATTTGTAATAGGAAATATTTTCCGAATATGTGCTTAGTCATTGACAAAGATCTTGAGTCCTGTGAGAATGGGGATGGGACACACAAAAACCCTACCCTAGTTTTTGTTGTCTTTTTTTGTACTTGTCATCAAGTACAAGTCATACTTGATGGAGTGATGGAGGTATTACTGCTTCAAGGGTCCCCATCATGCTAAAGCAACAGCAACTGTAGTTGTGTTTCTTTTCTTAAATGTTTTCTTTTGAGGCAGAGTTTTCCATGTTGCTATATAGTCTGCTTTAATGACTACTTTGAGTGGATATAATATATACACTGTACTATACTTAACCATGGATATACTACAATTTAACCATGGCTTGTTTATTCAGATTAGTTTACAGAGCCAAGAGTCAAGGAGTTTGACTCTTCCTTCATGCTTTCCAGAGCAGTTTGGGTAATTTGGAGCCATGCAATAAGCATGCCACTTTCACTCTGTCTTCCTAGCATTAGTGAGATTGCAGTTTTTATTGCCAATTAACTGAGGCATGGGTGGGGAGTTGGGAAAGTGCTGAAGCTAGAAGTCTTAGGTGTCCGTTATTTAGGGCAAGGAAAGAGTGATTGAGAACAGAGTTCAGGAAAATGGGAGAGAGCACTTCTTTATCCAGGGCAGCCCAGCATGTGAAGCTCCAACAGGGTTTTGTTTTTTGTTTTGTTTTTTTTTTGTGCTGGTGGTGCACCACAGTCCTGTTGGTGCACAAGGGAGCTAGTTCTGCCCAGAGGGAGAACTTCCAGAAGAGAGAGCAGCAGAAGTGCCTTCTGCTGGGTTTGATGGGATTGGAAGGGAGCAGGTTTGGCATGAGAATGGTGGGCGTTGCTGGCAGAGTGGCTTGAGTGGTAAAAAAGCACCTGCCTAGCAAGTGTGAGGTCCTGAGTTCAAACCCCAGTGCCACAAAAAAAAAGAGAGAGAGAATGGTGGGCGTGTTGGTAAGAACTTTGAAAACAAGTGCCAGGCTTAGAGCGTAGGAACAGTGACAGATAAATTCTCACTGGGAGAGCCACCAGGACACAAAATATTTTTGCTATTTTCTTGAAGAGACAATTCCAGAGGAGTGATCTGGTGAATCTGTGTGGCTGCTTCTAAAGATTTCAACCTCTAAAAGTTTAGAGCTGACATGTCAGATAGTAAAAAGCTAAATGAAATATTTTTTCCACTCAAGAAAAGGAATTTTAAGGCAGTTAAAAATTAATACGTCCAAAGAACGTAGCACACTTTGGCTTGATTCTGACAGGATGTTTGTGGTACTACAAATGTTTTTCAAACAGGGAACTAGAAATGGAGTCCTGCTAATGGAGGGGGAACCAGGGAAGTGTTCTACAGTTCCCCTCCATACTGTATTACTGCAAGAGGATGGAAATTCTGTGAGAGAAACTGGACATCTGGAGATAGTTTGGATCTTTGAAAATCAGACTCAGTCGAATGCTATGAAAACTCCTTTTTGAATTTATAGAGATGAACATAGATTCAGTTTCAAATGGAGCACTCCCAGGATCTGTTTTCCTTGTTGCAGTTGCCCTCACCTGGAACAAAGAAAAGGACTTTCACTGCTGTGTGTGAAGAAGTCATTGAAAACAAACAGATGGCCAGGTTTTACTTTTGTCATAAGAGAGAATAGTGAGAAAGTTGCCAGAGAATATAATTTCTGGGTTATGCAGAGATTGAATGACCTAGGGCTGTCCAGTTTGGAGGTCTTCTGTCTGCCAGATTATCCCATTGAGGCAAAGGAGATGTAAGCACTGTTTTTGCTTTATGGTATCCTCAGGCTGGAAAAAGGGTTCATGAGGGAGAAGAGGTCCAGGGTGGACTTTGCTGAGAGCTGGGCCGTTAGAATAGTGGGAGAAGTTGCGTTCCAGTGGCTACAGAATAAAAATGGCCTGTAGAAGCATGTCTCTGAATGTTGAGAATAAGTACACCACCACAGTGGGAAAGACATTAATAGGTTTATGATTCTGAGGTTATTTTGATTAAATAAGTGCTCTTTTGAGAGAGACATTTTTTTTTAGATGCTTGTTGTTAAAAAGAAGTACATTAACAGGATTTAAGTATACCTGATAAGACAAGAAGATGACACTTGGTCATTGCTATTTTAGCAACAAAAGATTCTGCCTGTGCATGGAGAGAGTAGGGAAAAGAAAGCAGATTGAGTACTCATGAAAGGCACTAGTCAGGTAATTTTGCAAGTCATGCCTAGTTCATATTCCCAAGTAATTTACAATTCCAGCTCTCAGCAAGACTTCAACTCATTATGACACACTGTTGTGTAAGTTATACCATGCAATAGTGTTTAGCTTATTTGACTCTTAAAGACTGAGGGAAATCTTAGACTTTGGAAGTAAATGGACTCTTTCTTACTGTGTCAATATTGGATCTCGGGAGGTGGAACACTCTAGTCCCACTATGTGTTCTTATGTGGCTATAGCACTTATCACACTGCACCAGGAAACCATGCTTCTTATTTTCTGGGTGCATATCCATAGCACCTAACACAGTGTCTGGCACATCAAATAACAAATATTATTTAATTAAACTCACATCTGGAGACAGATTTAGATAGAATGGAAATTGAAAGTGAGTATCTGGCATTTTGACATTGCTGTGTGCAAGCTACTTTGCTATTTTACTCAAATTAATTGTTATTTTAAAGAGTGGTATAGATACGTAAATTGAATGGTTATGAATGAAAAATTCTTGCATGAGAGAAAGATTGCACTTCTAATGTTCTGAGGGTTAAATGAGAACAGTTTTTGAGTTTAGATAACAATTGGATGACATGGATGAAGTATGAGAAATGGAATAGAAACAAGCAGATGCAGGGACAGTTAGAAAAGATGTACTTTGAAAAACAAACAAACACAAAAGAAAATCAATGATTGGTAGAAATGGGAAAGTAGAATTTGACAGCATTTCTCAAGATCACAAGACGAGCACAGAAAAAGGTATTGGGCATATTGCTGGCCTGAAAGTTCTAAGTTGAAGGGGTGGTGAGAGAAAACCCTCTACTCCAGACTCATCTTTGGCGCAGGGCATCACAACAGCACTTCAGTTTCTTTTTTATCAGTCTGATGGAGATGGCTGGCTTCAGCACTTAGGAAGAATTAGACATAAAGGACATTCTGAACTCCCTGCCCTGCTGTGCTACTGTTCCTGTTAATTCCTTAGTATGTTCTTCAGTCTAATGCTCTCCCAAGTGAGCTATTTCGGCGGGGTCCTTCGTATGTTTTTTTACTTAGTCCTTTCTCTAACTAGCACTGACATAGGTGCTAAGGAGACCATAACAGTGGAAAAGGCACCATTCCTAATTTTAAGCTTTTAATATAACAATGGTGAATGATACTTTTTGTTTGCTATTGCTTATTTATCCAATAAAAATATGTGCAGATTATATTGTAGGATGGAGAGGAAGCAATTATTTCTCCTTGGGGGGATTAGAGAAAAATATACCTTTTGAGCTGAATCTGGAAAAAAGTCCCTGTTGTTAGTGAAGGGATATTTCTGATTGAAGGAAAACTTGATACCAACAGAAACATGAGCGTTCAATGCTTGTTTCAGGATGATATATAATTTGGGAAGCATGGTGATAGGTATTTTCTCCACCAAAGATCACTTATATTTCTCCCAGGGACTCTTTGGTTTAGAAAAAAAAATACTGCATTTATTAGCATTCCTGTTCTTTTCAACTATCCAGATTTTAATCAGTCATTCATAATAATTGAGTCCAATAATTGCTCCTGTGTCCATAGGTCCTGCATCCAGGGATTCAACTAACTGAAAAAAAAAAAAATTGGGTCTGTAGTGAACATGTATGGACCTTTTTTTTTTTCCTTATCTTTATTCTGTAAACAATACAATGTATCAACTATTTAAATTGTATCATGTAATCTACCAGTGACTTAAAGTATATGTAAGGGAGGACAGGCATGGATTATATATAAATACTACATCATTTCATATAATGGACATGAGCATTGGAAGATTTTGGTATCCACAGTGGTGCTAAAACCAATCCCCTGTGAATACTGAGAGACAACTGTATTCATAAAAATATTATATAACTTTCTATTACAGTTATGTTGAGAAACAATCAAAAACTTATCAAAAACTTATAGGTTACATTTCATATGCCTCCTCTAATTGACCATGGCGTTAGTATGGAGTAACGTGTTTAATACAGATTTTTCCCATGGGTTCAGAAGTTGTGGTAGCATAGGTGCCACACTTAACTCTTTCTGTTGTGAAATCATGTTTTTCTTGTTTAGTTTTTTTACCAATTCCTTAATTTCAGTTGTTATTCTCTACTACTATGGCCGAGGTTGATTATGTACCAAATGTGTTTAATTCTGGTGTTATGACTACCTGACATAAAATTTATCAGCAACCAATCAGTTTGTCCAACCCCAAAACTACTGAGTTGATATAATTCTAGCTAGAAACAGAGCAACTGACCCCCTCACCCCACCTTAGTGCTGGGGATTGAACCCAGGGCCTCACCCATGATAGACAAGTGCTCTACCACTGAGCCCATCCCCAGCAGCTAATATTTAGTTTTTGCAGATTTATCATGGGTAAATGGAACATTCTGAGATATAACAAGAGCACCAAAGATCTTTTGCATTTTTCATAGACTTCTTTTCATAGATTTGACACTTCTAGGTTGGAAGCCTGTAGAATGCATGCCAGGAAGACTATTAAGGAGATTGCAACATAGTTTCAGATTAAATGATGAATGACATTAAATTTCTGCTCAGGAATGGAATAGTTACCACAGGTTTTAAAGTGGAGAAATGAAAAAATCCTATGTTTGTTTTAGAAAGCAGCTATAGAGTCAAACTGAGAATATGTAGGGAAGACATAGTTGAAAGGAGGAGGAGGCAGGAAAATAGATGTGTCACTAGTACATAGGTAGTAATCCAAATCTTGGAAGTTGTTGAGACTACATATAGTATTAGAAGATAGTTGCTCTACTGACTGGTGTGCAGGGAACAAGAAAGGAAATAAAACTGATAGCAGTTAATTTTCTTCCTCTTTAGTAGGATGTAATGTCCTGGAAAAAAATTTAAGGAAACAGTGGTTATATTTTTGAAGCATCATTTGTGTGGGTGTGTGTTTATGTGTGTTTCTTTTAAAAATAAGATTAATATATATACATATTTTAAGAACAAAATATGATTATATTTTCATATATTATTGACTCCTGGCCTTTACCATCTGAAAACAGTTTCTGCATTCTGTGTAATATAAAATTTTGATACAAAACTGTCTACTATTACAGTTTATGTGTATTAAGACAAAACAATGCATTATTAACTTCAAGGGCAAGAATATAATGCTTTTGCCTCTTGGGGAGGGGGCCAGCCATTTTCATAAGAGAAGGAAGGATTCAGTGCTTTCTTTGTTTGTGGGTTTCCTCTTGTTCACTTTTGATCTAGATATTGGTGGTTATGTTCCAGTCCTCCTGCGTATACCCAAGAGGATTGGGGATGGATGGACACCAGCAGAAGCAGCATTTATTCCTGTAGAGATTAGAAACAAGGAGTTTATTGCCATGCTTGTCAAGGCTCAGGACAGAGAGGAGGAAGAAACAAGTGTAAAGGTTTTGATTTTGAAAAGAAGTTGGACTCTCCTGACCCTGGGACCTTAAGATCCTCAAAATTGCTGAAAGAAAAAGTACTACCTTACTGAAAGGTAAGCTATTAAACTGTTTTAAGGTTTGAGGTATTTTAGTCACATTAGCATATTTTCATAAGCTATGAATTCAAGTAGTCATTTCTGTCAAGCTAAAGTTTTTGTGCCATAATCACAACCCCACCCAGCCTTACTGGTGAGATGGAGACCAGTGTGGCTGGAATGATGTGTATAAGTGAGGGAAAATCTTCATATTTTTGAAATGACATTTACTGAATGCCAGGCACTGTGCTAGGCCCAGGATATACAGAGGTTAATGAGTCACCCTACCTGCTTCTAGAAATACTCATTCAAGTAAAAGAAAAAGAAAAACAAAAAATCCTGATGATTACAATGTGATAAGTGCTATAACAAATAGGTATTAAGTGTAATAAGAGTGTTCCAAGGACAGGGCATGTAGTTCAGTGGTAAAGCCGCTTACCTAGCATGTACAAGGCCATGGGTTCGATCGCTAGCACTGCAGAATAACTGTTTGAGACAATAACGTTCATGTCCTTTAGGAGCTTGTGAGGTTGGAGTTAAGGTTGGGCTTCAAGTGACAGAGGATCATATGTTCAAAGACTTAGGTATAAGAAAGCATGTTGTACTGATGGACACACCAAATGCCAGAAATTTCTATCTGAACGTCTGCTATGTTTGAAAGAGAGACAAATGATAAGAGTTACTGCTAGGTAGGTAATTTGGGGCCTGCTGTGGAGCCTTATTGCATGCCAAGGAAATTTTAACTTTTGCCCTGGGAAGCCTTGGAGATAAAAACAAAAAATTATGGGGTTACCTTAGTTCTAAGATGAGTAGGAGAAAAAAATATATGTATGTTACAATAACAGTGTACCTCAGCTCTCTAATTGGGTCCCAAAAAAGAAAGGTGGTCCTTTTTATTCTGTCTTGTTTTGGTCATTATTCCTGGTATCCTTGTGTTTAAATCTTGTAGTTACTAAAGAATAGGATTTTGACTGTGGGCTGTTGAGAACTCCTTTTACCATTTTGTGCCAACTTTGAATATCTTCTAAATTGTATGTGTGCTTCCACTTAAACACTATTTTCTTCCCTCTTGAGAGAAAACTATAAACTAGAGTAAAAATGAAATACAATAAATAAGTGATATAACAAGGAGGTAGCTAATTTTCTAGTTTCTAATGATGACCAAAATAGGGCCATAAATTTATAATTACCCCCAGGAAAAGAAACCATCCTAACAGAAGTCAGACTTGACCCTGTGATCTTTTGTAGGAGTTAGGCAGTTGGAGAACTTACTAAGGGACCCTTGAGTAGAAGCCAGACACAAGGTACAGATTTAGTTGTTGCTGGTGCTGGAGCATTAGTTGATCACCCTGTTAGAGGAATTCAGGGCTTGGTGAAGTCACAAATGTAAAAATAGAAGATGGTAACCCTGGGGGAAGATCTGGATGAAATGCTTAAAGAGCAATGACATTTGCATGCTATGGAATGCCACCCTCACTACAAGAAGAGAACAAAGAAGAGAGGAATAGCCATGGGACACATGGCTTCCACATACTAGGTTTCAATGGCACTTGCAGATCTTGTGGTATGCTTCAGACAGGAGTATAGCCAACCAAGCTGGACACCAGGCTCTGACTAGACACTGATGCTGGAGGGTGATAGGACTCTGATTTCACTGTGGCATTTAGTTTCAAAATTACATGTAATCTGGTTGGAGCAAGAAGAATCATGTTGGAAGAAATACATTTCAAAAGACATTTGCCACGATTGGAAGGGTGAACTAAAAATCAAGGGCTTCAGAGACCCAGATATGACATTTCTATAAAATTACCCCCTCAAAAGCAAAAAATGGCAGGATACCTGCCTAGCAAGCATGAAGCCCTGAGTTCAAACCTCAGTACCACCAAAAAAAAAAAAAAAGGCAGGAGAATAGAAAAATTCTGAAAGGATACCTTGAATTACTCAAAGTGAGACACTTCAGGAGGTGTGGGCTTTAGTCCTCAGGGCTGTCTATGTGACAGCTCTCTAAAGATTTGGAGAGATTTAGAGATTTAGGTTAGAAGCTGTGGAATATGATGATGACTTAACAAAGGAATAATTAATTGGTAATTGAGATAGATGGATGGCAATTGTCCAAGAAAATTCTGACAAAAGAGAACAACTAGAAGTGGATTTGAAAACAATCAGGCGTGAGAACCATCCTCCTTTTTTATAACAGGCAGTCCTCATGTTGGTCCTCCATATAGTGTCATGAGCAAACCCTTAAATATGTAGCTAATGTAAATACTAGCTATGTCATCTCATAAACTAAAAATATTTTGAATGTAGGATAATGTTTACTGGATGGTCTCACTTAAGTTCAAAATTCTTGCTAGAAAATGATGATTTTAATGAACACAGGGAAGATTTTTATCATTAGCAAATTTCTTATTTTGAATCTCAGAAACTACATGTTGAAGGACCAGAAGGAGATCCTAAACAGATTCAGAGCATCTGTCTGCACTTGGTTAGATTTTGAAGTGCCTTTAGCTCAGAGGGTACAACTTCATGAATGTTGAATAGTTGAACCTAGAAGGAAATCCTTGAAGTTAAAATAAGACTTTTGTTTTTGTTATAGTTTCTGTTGCACTCACATATAGTAAGCAAAGAATTCATTTTGGTCTTAGTTGTTAATATTTCTGTGAAATTAGACAAGTTGAAAAATAGGTTTCCTGGTGGATAAAAAACAATCATGATGTAATTTAATAGCTCCTCAACCTAGGTAGCTCAATAAAACACTGACATTTATCTCTGTTAGAAGTTGGTTAGAATTAGAGAAGATTTCAAGAAATGTTTGTGAACGTTCTGAGCTTTAACGTTCAGAATGTTCAGAATGCTTTAATTCTGTGACTAAGAAAGTTACTTTACCACCAGGTGCCAGTGGCCCACGCCTGTAATCCTAGCTACTTGGGAGGGAGGCAGAGATCAGGATATTCGAGGTTTGAAGCCAGCCTCAGAGAAATAGTTCAAGAAATCCTACTTTGAAAATACCCAATGAAAGAAAGGGCCGATGGAGTGGCTCAAGTGATTGATAGAGTGCCTGCCTACCAAGCGTGAGGCCCTGAGTTCAAACCCCAGTGCAACAAAGATATGTTACATTATTTATGAACTGGGTTGTGACAATGTATTATAATAGTAAAGAACTACATATTTGTAACATGTTTTTGTAAAATGTATGTCATTAGATATTAAGTATAAAAAAATTAGGTAAGATAGTATCTGTTTTTTCCAAATGAAAAACATGAGGCTGAGAAAGGCTTAGTATTTTGCTCAAGGTCACAAAGCTAGACTTTGACATTGTACTGCACTGACTTCTTAGTGTTTCTTTGAGGTAATTGTAGGCACATACTGACTTCATCTACTTTTTTCTGTGTGTGTGTGTGTGTGTGTTTCTTTCTTTCTTTCTTTTTGCAGTTCTGGGGCTTGAACTCAGGGCCTACACTTTAAGCCCACTCCACCAGCCCTTTTTTGTGATGGGTTTTTTCCAGGTAGGGTATAGTGAACTATTTGCCTTAGCTGGCTTTGAACCGTGATCCTCCTGATCTCTGCCTCATGAGTAGCTAGGATTACAGGCTTGGCTTACTTTTTGCAGTCTTAGCCATTGTTTTCCACAGCAAACTTTCTACACAAGGCTGAAATCTGACTGTGAAAATATACCAGAAGAAAACATATTTTTCTGTCAATAGTTGTTGCAAAGGTGTCAACATGCTCTTAAGTTATGGGACTGTGATGCCGTTCATACTAGACCACAGCTTTAGCTAAGAAGGAGTGGCTGATTGTTAAAGTGTTTGTGTTTTGTAGGAAGGCTAGTAATACTGAAGATTTTGGGAAATATTATACTTTTAAAAGTCCAAATTTACATATGCTGTTGGAGAAGAGTATTGCGGAATTTTTTGTTTTGTTAATTTCAACTCTTATTTAGAATAAAAGTGACTCACAGGTCAAGTGAGTAGAATAAAGCAATTTGCAATTATAATTATCTTTCATAATTATAAAATTTTAGATTTGACTTCATAGGTTCTAAAGTGAGGCTATTTAATGAAACGTAAGTGAAATTGCTATCTTTTCATTTTACAGGATGAAGAGACACGAAAAGATTATGACTACATGCTGGATCATCCAGAAGAGTACTACAGCCATTACTACCACTACTACAGCAGGCGTCTAGCCCCCAAAGTGGATGTTAGGATAGTGATTTTGGTCAGTGTGTGTGCTATTTCAGTGTTTCAGGTGTGTATTGATGGGTATGTGTATTTCCATGTATATACATGCACACATGTTGCTTAGTGGTAATCATTAAAACTGCACTAGTACCTTTTTGTAAAATTTTACTTCCAGTAGAGGTTAATATTTTTACATTAAAAAAATTCTCATTTACTCCAACAACTAACAGTATTGGAATCTTTGTCCATGGGAAATCTAAGAAACTGATGGTGAATATCGTTAGATAACTACAAAAACAAAACAAAAACCAAAAAAACTGCAAATCTGTATCTTTTGTTGTGATTCTTCTACAGTATCTGTTCACATAACAGGAAGATTATATCATTTACTTTTGTAGAACTTTTCAGTGATTTCCCATAACCTTGGGAAAAGTAAAAACTCTGTAACATGGCCTTAAAGTCCTGGCTTCCATCTACTAATGCCAGTAGTACTTGCCATCTGTGTAACAAAATGACCTGCAATCTGTGTGTACCTTAAAGGTGCTACCGCTCAGGAGAAAACCACTGAAATAGATCAGAAAAGGTACAGTGACTTTTTATGTTGTTTTAAAATATCACAGAAATTTAACTTCAGCCTGTAATAAGTTTTGCTGTTACTATGCTTAAACTACCTGCAACTGTTGTGCTCCTTTAGCGAAAAGAGCAAGTCAGGTGAGTAGAATGAAGCAATTTGCAAGTTTGAGAAATTACTCCAGGTTAATTCGCAGAAACGATATTCAATTTATATAGCAAAACAATTCCTATTAAAGATTAAGGTGGGGAGAAATGACCCAAACAGTGTATGCACATGTGAATAAATGAATTTTAAAAAAAGATTAAGGTGATACATTTTAAATGTGTGAGCTTTTGTAGAAGTATTGCCCTTTCAAAGGAGAGAGCAGGGATAATTTTACTTTCTTGTTTTAGACAGTGTACTACCCTAGTAACCTCTTCATCCCTCATTCCCTTCCTTTTCCTCCCTTCCGTTTCCTTCCAGCTGTAATATATTTTTACTGTAATATTTCAGTATATTGGTAGTGTAACTGCCGTTCTCGCTCAGTGAAACAGGAGCTGAAATGTATGGAGGCTGTATTTGAGAAGAAGGCTTTTTCTGACCAAAAATAATAATAATAAAAAACCCTTCGTAGTTAAATATTATGAAGTGAGTTAACGTTTTCCTGTCCCAATAAGTAGAATTCAAACATATTTGAATTTTAAAATTCAGAATAAGATAAGCATCATTGTAGTATAGGTAGCTGGTTAGGAAAAATTGGAAGAGTGAACTTTTAAAACAAATTTCTCACCAGCTAGTTTTGTAGTTCAAGAGACAGAGATAAATTTTTTTTACTAATAAAATACGATCTTTAAGACCTCTGTTATTATTATTTTCTTTTTGTTACAGTTTTTGAGACAGTGTCATGCTGTACAGGCCAGGCCAACCTCAAACTTGCCATCCTCTTGCCTCCCGAATGCTGGTGTCATAGGCAGGCACCACCATACCTGGTTGAGATTCCTATTTTTAATCAGCATGCGTTTCTTGGGTGTTGACATTCAGAGAGCTCTATTGTTTCTTTAGAATGAGTTTTGGTAATACAAGTGACCCATTTTTCTTTGTTTAATATTCCAGTATTTCAGCTGGTGGAATAGCTACAATAAAGCAATCAGCTACCTAGCCACAGTGCCCAAGTACCGTATCCAGGCAATAGAGATTGCCAAGGAGCAGGGACTGCTCAAAAAAGCCAAAGAGAAAGGCAGAAACAAAAAATCCAAAGAGGAAATGCGTGATGAGGAGGAGAACATCATCAAGAACATTATCAAAAGTAAAATAGATATAAAAGGAGGCTACCAGAAACCTCAGATACGTGATCTTCTCCTGTTTCAAATTGTCTTAGCTCCTTTTCATCTGTGCTCGTATATAGCCTGGTATTGCCGGTGGATCTATAACTTTAACATCAAAGGCAAAGAGTATGGGGAGGAAGAGAGACTATATATTATACGTAAATCTATGAAGATGTCACAGTCTCAGTTTGATAGCCTAGAAGATCATCAGAAAGAAACTTTCCTTAAACGGGAGCTGTGGATAAAGGAAAATTATGAGGTGAGTAATGACTTTGCTGTGACTTTAGTGTCATCTTCCTTACCGAGTCACAATTCTAGCTATGATGCGGGATCGTGCAAGTGTGCTTGAATTTCTGAAATCCAAGAGTTAAATAATGAATAAAGATCTTACTTTTAGGGAAAGTATGACTTAAATAAAATCTGGCCCTTCCCAAGTCTTCTTCCAGTGATGTAAACCTAATCACAGGGAGACTTTTTCAAAAAGCAAACAGGGAGGGAGTGAGGAAGGAAATCTGAGATTAAAACATGGGAATTTTGTTAACATAACTTTCAGAATAATTAAGCACAGACTCTTCTGCATAATAACTATGGTATGTATGGAAAGTTTCATTTTACTTTTTAATTCAGTTGATTTACTGTGATGCCTTTAAACTTTGGGCATTTTATTAAAAGCTTTATTCTATAATTGCTGACTGCAGAAATTACTTTAAGGCTGTACAGTGCTGAGGGGACCTGCAGTCTCACAATGATACCATTCTAGGATCTGTGTGCATTAATTGGTTAATATATTAAATGTAAAATGAGCATACTGAAACCTTAAGAAAATTGAGATATGTTAGGTTTTTTGTTTGCTTTTTCTGTTTAGTTTCAGTCATGCCTTTAAACATGTAATATTCCAATTTTACTGAAAATGAAATTTTGGTCTGAATTATATTTAAGTGAATTAGTTTACTACAAGTTGCCAGATATTTAAGCAAGTAAATATATTCAGCCTGTTTATAAATAATACAAATATGAAAGGTGATATATTATTTAGCTCTTAAGCTATTTGAAAAGTTTTCTTTTCTAAAACTGTGTCTTATAGATTGCGGTATGGGGTTGAGTTATCACATGATACTATATGAAGTTATCTTAGTCATCACTTCATATTATTTGGACGTTATATTTCTTTATAAAATTTGATGTTTCTCTGAAACTGGCTATGACAGTTTGCCTATTTGGCTTCAGTTGACATACATTAAAAGTTAAAGAAATACAGATGTTCTTTGTTCTTAACCTGTGTGGTTTATAGAAATAACCTTCTTTGAAGACTTTAATAAAATTTTGAGCCTAGCATGGTGATACACACTTGTAATCCCATATACTCAGGTATAGGCAAGGAAGACCAGACCAGACTGGGCAAAGTTAGCAAGACGCTGTCTCAAAAACAAGATGCAAACAAAAGGGCTAGGATGTGGCTTGAGTGTTAGAACACTTGCCTAGCATGTTGGAGACCCTAGGTTCAATCCCCAGTATTGCAAAAAGAAAGAAGAAAAAGAAAAAGGAAAACAAAAATAAAAATAGAAAAACAAATAATTATCTCTGAAGATAAAAATAGATCTAGTTCAGTCTGGAGGCAAATATATATTTAAAGTCAGTTTGTTCCTAGGTTAAATCAATAAATCTGAAAGTCATCAGTTAAATTTACACTGTTACCCAATGTACCATGGTAAGAAGAAGAAAAAAGTGTTGATTCTTTAATACTGGACATTCATTATAAAGAGGAAACATTACACCATTTAAATTCAGCTCATGTATGATTTCACTGAGGAAAAGAATGCATTCCTAAGTAAACAGAAATTGATGACCAAAAAAGGGGCTAGTTCAGATGGATATAGGGGTGACTGAGGCAGGTGGATTGGGAGTTCAAGGCCAGCCTGGGCTACTAGTAAGACCCTATCTAAAAAAAAAGTCTATTCTTGTACAGGTTGTTCTTTCTTTATTTAACACTGAATGTTGAATTGTTTAATTTTGCTTAGTATTTTTAAATGAGTAGTCTTCAGAAGACAAATCAGTGTATTCATTGGAAACTTTTACCTAAAGTTGTATTTTAAAAATGCAAGACTGCCATAAAGCTAATGGCAAATATTTCTCTTTACATTGTACAGTCATACAGTGTTATTTATGTCTGTAGGTTTACAAACAAGAACAAGAGGAAGAATTAAAGAAAAAACTGGCAAATGACCCCAGATGGAAGAGGTACAGGAGGTGGATGAAGAATGAAGGACCTGGACGGTTGACATTTGTGGATGATTGAAGATTGATGAAATACTACTATGCCAAACCTTAATCATGATATTATTTTCATAACTGAATTATTTTAAAAATTTATCAACAGCCCCTCAGCAGTAAAATTCCTCAAGTATTTGGTTAAACAGAATAATGTAGAAATTTAAACTTTCCCTTAAAACTTTATACATAAGACATTTATGATTGTTCAGTTTTTATAATCTATTTGTGTATTTTGTTAAAAGATTTGGCATGAGGATTTATTGCCCTTTAAAAATTTTATATGTTAAAAAAATGTGACATGAAAATTTATTAGACACCATTTAAAATTTTTTGTGTTAAGTATTCTTTAAGAGTGTTTCCTTATTTGTCATGGTACTACCATTTTTCTTCTTTCACAACTTCTATATTTTCACAAAACATAAGGAAATTATAATAGTAGTTAATTACATTATGTCTTTCTGGACACATTCAGAATTATTTAGCTGTCCTATCTTCATTATAAGATTGAAATGTGTTCAAAAGAATCTCTCTAGGAGAGTCTTCTGCTGGAATCTCCTGAAAGTCTCACCCCCATCATTATAATACTCTTAATAAGATCAGAAACTCTCCAGGAGAGTGGGTCTGCTCTTGCGTCCTTATAGGACAATCTTGATTACAGTCTTATTATAGGACTACAACTGTATTCTCAAACATTTCTGCAGAAGGGGAACTTGTAAAAATTTCTTTATACCACAAGATTCTTCTTTTCTTCTTTTCTTTTGTCCTCTCTTCAATTAAAACAAAAATAGCAGGACAAAAATAGTATACCGAAGAGTTGTTCATATATTAGGAAGTCCCTAAGTAGTTAAGAAGCCATTGTACATGAGAGTATTGACATGCATTAAACTAGAAAGAAGGTAAACATGGCTGTGTGCTGTTCTCTCAGCCACTGAAATATGTATGTTTTTATAGCTGTGGAAGTGAAAACCAGTGACACATAACTTGAATCAAACATGATAGCACATCAGAGTATCAATACACGTTCATGGCAGTGAATCAATACTCCTTTTAAAACATTTATCCCACAGCTTCATATTAATAAAATGGTTGCAATGTGTCATGTTTGTTGTTACGGCATTTTAAGGATTAACATATTAGTTTTGTATTATATAATTTAAAAAAATTGTGACGGGTATGCATGCTTTGTTTCTAGCTAAAGCAAACTATAGTCTTTTTTAAAAGCTCAACCCTTGGCTGGGCATGGTGGCTACACAGCAGTGGTCCCAGCTACTTGAGAGGTGGAGGTAGAAGAATCATAGTTAAGATTGGCCCCAAGCAAAAAGCACAAGACCCTATCGGAAACAAACTAAAGCAAAAAGGGATTGGGGCATGACTGAAGTGGTAAGAGCAGGAGGCCCTGAGTTCATACTCTGGGACCATAAGTAAATAAACACATAAATGCAATCTCAGTCTAAATACATGATTTATGTAGAGTTCCATGTTTGCTAATTTAGCCAAAAACTGTGGCCAGTTTATTTACTATGTGATTGACAGCTTCTATTGCATCAGTTATAAACTAGGGAAAGAATTTGACCAGCCTATTAATGACAGGGCTGTTTTTACATTTCTAAAATTTTGAAATGATATAATTATGTTTTTTTAAACTTTTAGATGAAAATGTATTATGCATCATTCTTTTTTAGGATTGTGAAGAAGGTACAGGACTAAATTTTAGGTAGCTATGTTGCCAACCTCCAATGCTCAACTTTAACCAGAAACAAATGCCTTTCAAAGGTGCTTTGGTGGGTTAGTGGAATGGCTCAAGTGGTAGAGGGCCTCCCTAGCAATAGCGAGGCCCTGAGTTTGAACCCCAGTAACACCAAAAAACAGCAATAACAAAAGAAGGTGCTGTGGTTGTCTATAGTGTCAACAGTCCTTTTATCTTTAATGAATGCATTATTATAGCATTAACATACATTGCCATTTATCATCTAAGAACATAAATGTGTGCCATGAGAACCAAAAAGAAATACAGGTACTTGCCTCTCAGAATCTCTAAGGAAATTTCTGATTGCCTGTATCTTATACTTAGTAGCAAGGAAAGTAGAGGATGGGAGGTGTTTTCATTTGTAAATGTTGACTGGTGAGGACAGTGTATCTTTGGGATATCCTTTTGTCTATATCCCAGGTTACTGTGTTTCTTCCTGTCTTTCTAGAAGTCTTGTCTGTAGACTTGTCCCCAACAGGCTGCTCACCTGGTAATGTTTATTGTCTCTGGGAGCTGCAGTCATTGCATGACTCAAGATGAATGGACTCTTCTTAACAGAAGGACTGATTCTTCTTTCCCTCTGTCAGCACACTAACTCTGGGCTTCAGAATCCCAGCACAAAGAAGAGCTGTTGTCACCACAAGTGTCTTTCAAGTACTCTGGGTATTTTTATTGTCACCATACTCTGCCCATTCTCCACCAAAAATAACAGCAACTCTCCCAAGCCTCCATCTTAGAAACATCTGGAGAAGAATCCTGAGTAAAAGACCCCAAAACTCTAATAGTTATAGAGAACTAGAAAATGTTTCTTGTGCCTCGTTGTAGGGCTATTGCCATTTTCTTTTTGGTAGGTATTCATGGATTGGTTCTGCATAGCTGTACATTGCTATCACTTCATGTAATTATGGTCTGCAAAAATTACCCTTTGCATTATATTCATATCAAATATCCTCATAAATATTCATATCAAATCTCAGCAGATTGCACTACACCCCCTTTCCTCGTTGGTCTTACTTCTTTATGAGTTCTCCAAGTTATGCAAACTACAGGTTGCAGCTTCACAACACATCTATTTGATACCCTGCGTAGAATCTTAAACACTAACTGGTATATATGATTATCTAAATGTTACATGAAAAAATAGATTTAGTGAATTAATACTAAATACTTTTAGTACTATTGAATTTAGGTCCTTGTGTCTCACCTCCTTCCCAGAGCTCTGGAAATCATGGTAATTGGAAAGCCTGTAGGCCTCCAGGTGAACGGTGACTTCTCTTGAACGCCAAGATGAAGGTTCTTGTCCCCACTTTCTGTGATAGTGAACACATGATTTCACTTTCCATAGTGGTTGTTAGTTTTCTCATCTCTGACAGTTCCGCTCCACTCTGAAGTTCTATCATGCTAAAGTCATGAAGGAGAAGTCATTTTGGAGAAGCTAAGTGCATCACCCAGGTGCCCGTCCCTCCCCAAGTACAGCCAGCACCTGGCCTGCTTGTCCATGGGTCACTGCTGGTCTGTTTCTGTCAAAGCCAGACCACTCCTCTTACAGGACTCACAACAGAACACTGAGGTGGGCAGGGGCAGCAGGTGGGCATTGTGGCATGTACCTTTAATCCCAGCTACAGTGGGAAGCATAGGTAGGAGGCTTGCCCACAGACCCTATCTGAAAAATAAGTAAAGTAAAAAGGATTGGGGTCATGGCTCAAGTGGTAGAGTACTTGCCTTTGAGCATGAGGCCCTGAGTTCAAACCCCAGTACCACCAAAAAAAAAAATACACACAAAGCTGTTTATGGTGGTCATTATGGCCTTAAAGAACAGGGTAGTAAGCAAATAAATTATCCATTTGTACAATGGATTACTATATAGCCATTAAAAATAATTGGGACGATGTGGTGGTACATGTCTATAATCCCAGCTACTCAAGAAGTGGAAGTAGGAGGGTCACTGTCCAAGGCTGGTTCAGGCAAAAGCATGAGACCCTATCAAAACCAAGCTAAAGCCAGGCACTGGTATCTCATGCCTGTAATCCTAGCTACTCCAGAGGCAGAGATCAGAAGGATCATGGTTTGAAGCCAGTCTAGGCAAATAGTTCGTGAAACCCTATTTCGAAAAAAATCCTTCACCAGAAAGAGCTGGTGGAGTGGTTCAAGGTGTAGGTCTTGAGTTCAAACTGTAGTTAGTACCCCCCCCAAAAAAAAACTAAAGCAAAAAGAACTGGGGGCATGGTTCAAGTGGAGGCCCTGAGTTCAAATCCTAGTGCTGAAAAAAAACTGGAGTAGGGCCTTTTTAAAAATTAAATGATTTTTTAAAAAAAATACCACCTCCTTCCCTTCTTGTGGCAGCATCTTGATTTTCCTTTGGGAGGTCACTCTGTGGCAGGAAGGCAGGGAGAGGGAAGGGGGATGGTGAATGCTACAGTAAAACAAACGAGTTGGGGAAGGTTACCTGGAGACCAGAGAAGGGTCACCTCACCCCAGAGGTTACAGCTGTCAATGCAATGACATATGATTATGTATGGGACAAACTGTACCCTCCCCCATTTCTGTGACCTGCTCTAAACGGTATATAAGGAAGGCCCCCTTTGTTACCGAGGCTCAACCTTTGGACTTGAGTCTGCTGACTCGCTGCCGCCTTGCTTACTAAACTTGCTTCCTGAAAGCTTTGGTGCCCTCTCTGTGTCTGAGCCCTCCTGCAACACTTCTGGGGAAGTTGTCCAGGATTTGAAGGGCAGTATTTTCACCTCCTTGTTTGTGGCTGGGCATCCTGGACCTGCTGGGAGGGCCACCCCTGCCAGGTACCACCAGATGTGTTGATCCAGGGGAGGGAGCCTCTCCCAGCGAGGCAAGGAGGTGAGGTCTGGTTGCACAAAGGAAACTGGAAAGGCCCAGGAAACAACCTGGGAGCCCTGCTCATCAGACTGGTAAGAATCCAGGTTCAAATTCAGGCCTGCCTCAGGGGGCAGAGGGGGATCACCTTCCAAAGACACCCGAGTAATGCCCTTTTGGGGGGGTGAAACCATATCTTTCAGGTTCAGGGCGGAAGTACTGTGCTGTGTGAGTGTGAAAGTGCAAGCCTTGTTACGAGGCGAGTGCGGAGTCCCAATCGTAGGTCTGTGGTGAACTCGAGGTCTAGTAAAGCCCTAACAGGGCCTCTGTTCTGAGGCTTATATGGACTCTCTACAACCAAGAGACACCTAAATCCCTGCAAGGGGAGCAGCCAGAGATGGATGAAGCAAGTGGTGTAATTTGTTCTTCCCTGTGTGCTGGAGAGGAGGACCCCTTACCTCCTCTCCACAGTCCTTATCCCTTCTGTCTTTATCTTTGTCATGATTTCTGGCAAACAGGAGGAACCTGAGGAGATCAGAGTAAGAACGCCCTCCTAGAGTACATGCTTAAAAACTTTAAAAGGGGATTTAATGGAGATTACGGGGTCAAGCTGACTCCTGGTGAATTTAGGACCTTCTATAAAATGGACTGGCCTGCTTTCACAGTAGGATGGCCTTTGGAGGGGTCATTAGATAAAGCCATAGTCTAAAAAATAAAGTTTTTGAAATGTTATAGGGGAACCCAGACACCCAGATCA